TTGTTCCAAGGACTTAGCCATTTGACGAGTGCGACGCTGACGTAGTCTCTGACGAGCCCTCTTCGTCAGTGCCAATAGGCTTTGATTCAGTGACTCCTTAATTAGAGTAGAGTCATTGTGAGCAGAGGTGTTGCGAGTAAAATCCTCAGCAACAATCAGACGAGAGTCTTCACCGAGTAGAGTCATTGTGAGCAGAGGTGTTGCGAGTAAAATCCTCAGCAACAATCAGACGAGAGTCTTCACCAGTAATATTCGACGGAGTTGAAAATTTAGCGAGTAAAATCCTCAGCAACAATCAGACGAGAGTCTTCACCAGTAATATTCGACGGAGTTGAAAATTTATAAACCTTCTTAGAAGACGAAATCTTCCTGCATTTGCGAGGCGAGGAAGATTTTGCAGATGATGATGACAAATACTCCTCAAACTTCGCTTGGTCAAATTCGTACTCGATCGTGGATTCAACCGGTATCTTGATCGGCTGCGACACGACGGTCTCGGTAGCGAGACCGTTGGCTCCTACTGTGGTCGCCAGTTTGTTTGCGTCAGGAACAAGTTCTGTTGTAGAATTCATTATAACTGTTTATCGATTATAATGAATACAAAAAAGTGAGCTTCGTACTTTGTAAAACTACTCTTTATAATAAAAATCAAATTACAAGCTCTTTAGAAACAAACGCAGGATCGTTGTTTGGATCGCTGCTTGCGCGGGATCTTTGCCTGTGACGGGGGTGCGTTAGCCCGTGGACCACCGAATCACGAATTCTGATTGAATCGTGAAGGATTTGAGGATTCTTCCTTCGTTTAGAAGCAAGAATAGTTTCAGTGAATATCTTATCGAAGTAAGATGAACACTCTTCTCAAGATCAAGTCAAAGCTTAGATCTTAAGGAACCTCCGAATTGTTGAAATGAGATGAACTCTTGAAATTTGCCCAAGCCTTTTAAAAATCTCTGTCCAATTGCTCAAGTAATAGCCACTCTGCTCTCTTGGATCTGCTCCAAAAAATGCTCAGCCCCCCTTTTGTAACCGTCGTCCCACTACTTAAATATCATATTTTTATAATGTTAGTGGGCCTATTTTCAGTTTGTAACTGTCTCACCACGTTTATGGTTGATCTCAAGCAGTTATAAAGCCAAAAAACCATCAAAAAACGTGTTGTAAGCAACTCTATGGCCGAGACAGGATTGTGTGTCTCGCACTTCCGAGACAGTTTGTACTGTCTCGGGGATTTTGGCTCTAACTCCCTCATCCGATATCAGAATGAGATGATCCAAGATGCGTTGAAAAACTGACGAAGAGATCTACAACTTTTATCTTTTGAGCTTCTTCAGATTTGGTGCGAGACGGTCATAATTGTCTCGCAGTTCCAAGACAGTTACGACTGTAAAACGTGTTGTAAGCAACTCTGTGGCCGAGACAGGGCTGTGTGTCTCGCACTTCCGAGACAGTTTGTACTGTCTCGGGTATTTTGGCTCTAACTCCCTCATCCGATATCAGAATGAGATGATCCAAGATGCGTTGAAAAACTGACGAAGAGATCTACAACTTTTATCTTTTGAGCTTCTTCAGATTTGGTGCGAGACGGTCATAATTGTCTCGCAGTTCCAAGACAGTTACGACTGTCTCGCACTTCCGAGACAGTTTGTGTTGTCTCGGGTATTTTAGCTCTAACTCTCTCGTCCAATATCAGAATGAGATGATCCAAAATACGTTAAAAAGCTGACGAAGAGATCTACAACTTTTATCTTTTGAGTTTCTTCAGATTTGATGCGAGACAGTCATAACTGTCTCGCAGTTCCGAGACAGTTACGACTGTCTCGCACTTCCGAGACAGTTTTTGTTGTCTCGGATATTTTGGCTCTAACTTTCTCGTCCGATATCAGAATAAAATGATCCAAGATACGTTTGGAAAGCTGACGAAGATATCTACAACTTTTGTCTTTTGAGCTTCTTCAGATTTGGTGCGAGACAACCATAACTATCTCGCAGTTCCGAGACAGTTGCGACTGTCTCGCACTTCCGAGACAGTTTGTGTTGTCTCGGGTATTTTGGCTCTAACTCCCTCATCCGATATCGGAATGAGATGATCCAAGATGCGTTGAAAAGCTCGCAAAGAGATCTACAACCTCCCATAGACAATACACTCATGGAATGGGCAAAACACACACTTCGCCCTTTTGTGGGCGAAACACAACTCCCGGTTGAGTTGTTCCTTTATTGTTTAGCGTGTTTCACAGACTCGTACGCTTCGCCGACTTACTTCATGTGCTTTTTAGCTTATCTATAGTATCGAATGATCTCCTTTGACTCAGATAATCCTCCTTGACTCGGATAGTAACATTCATCGTCTTTTCTTCATCTCGAGCTATGTGCGAAAACCTATAGGCAAATTTTTTATGCCTACAAGAAGGTGTGGAGGAGGCGGCGGAAATGAAGAAGAAAGGATAATGAGGAGGCAAGAGGGGCAGAAAAGGTATTAACCATTTCTTCTGATGAGGCCACAGTTTCATCCCCATTAGCAAAGGGGTGACAATTGTTAGTGGTTATGCCCTAGGCCAAATATTTGGACCTTGATGTAATGATTATATTTTCATTTAAGGAATGATTTTCTCCACATTAGTATTATTGGCATGTAACATTATTTTAATGTTTATGAATACCTATGTTATTCATGTTATCCCTAGTTATTTATCACTAAAGGGCATAAAGATAAATTAAGACTAGTATGAGTTTTGATTGATAAACATGAGATGATTATATATGGTGATATATATCAAACCTGTAGGTACTTGTTAGAGAACAAAGCACTGGATAGACCCACTATGAGATTACTACATGGGTTAGTGTCATAAGTGATCTCATAATAGTTATGTTATCGAATCCTTAGACCTGAGATTATCACAGATTCCTACATGAGGAACATCGTGTTTTAACATAATCAAACGTTATCTTTAATCGGATAATCATAAAGGTTATGATTGGACATGATGAGAATTATGCAGAGGATAGTGAATAATAAAGATGGAATTTATCCCTCTTATGAGAGAGAGATATCTATTGGACCCCTCGATAAGTAGGACTGAGAAATACATGGTCATGCTCAAATGAATTGATAGTGTAATCAATGTCATTTGAATTTATCAGTCTACTTAGTGATCGAGAAATTATATGTTTGAACAATATAAGTTTGACATGTACCATGACTTATGTTCAAACAAGATATCGTGTGACAAAAGGATTATAACATGTACTATTGATTAGGTTAAAATCAGACTATCGATATTTATATTATTTGGGTAGTCATAATGTCTTGCTAGAAGCCACTTATGACTTGTGGGTTTATAATAGGATTGGGCCCACTGCCAACATAATATGAACCTAGTGGGTCGCACACAAAGAACGTGATGAACGGGCTAGGATTTCTTTGGGCAATTTCGAATTTTAAATGTAAAATTCAAAATAAAAATCTGTTATTTTTGAGATATTTTAGAGAGAAAATATTATTTCTTATTATCTGAATAAGAAATAAATTTCTGTTATTTTGAACAAGATATCCCCAAAATATTTCTCTACACGTTAGGGTTAACGTGACTATAAATAGACTTTTGTGATGCTCTGATTTGATTCTCTCTCATAAAAATAAAAACCCTAGCCGACGCAAAAAGGAGCTAGCACCCTTGCATCCGTTCGTGATCGTTCGTGTGTGGATACTGATAGATGGCGTTCATTCCTTAAGCAGCACCTAGAGTCCGATTGAATTAAGGTGTTAATTCGGTAATCTGCGCACAAACAGGTTCGTAATCTTAAACTCCTTTTGAATCAATTGGATCGCATGGATCCTGTTTGGTTTTTATTTTAATTTCCGCTGCATGATTAATTTTGAATTATATGTATAAAACCCAACAATAATATCACCGGAGAATGAGAGAACAGTTCACGTTAGTAAGGTAAATTCCAACGTTAAAATAACTATGTATCAGAAGACCAGTAACTAAACTCTTTTAAGTGACTTTGAAAAACTTCAGGATATGTTTCTCTAAAAAAAGAAGTATTTAACTTCAAAGTGGTTAAATTTTGGTGTACTTATTATCAGCAAATAGCCCTTCCCTTTGAAATGATTAATTTTGCAGTGAATTTGTAATTATTTGGAAATCTGTTAAAGTAGCATTAGTAAAGGATTTTAGAAGAGAGCTAGGAAAAGGAGACAGAGCATAAGTTTAGATGATACGACAGGAGAGGAAGGAGAGAAAGGAAATTTTCTTGTCAGGATTAGCATTCTAATAGAAGAGCGCACCTTAATGGTGTATATGGGCACGGTGAGAATTAATAGTATATTATGCATAATAGAGTTCCATCTAACTAGAGAGGGTGATTTCAAACAACTAATAGGATTTACACGTCTAATTCAAAGACACAATGGGAATTTAATATCACAATAAACCTAATTGGGATGTCCGATATAAAGAAAACCCCTAAAATGAAAAGAAACATTATAATCCAAGCATTTAATTTCATGTCACATAGGACATGGTGAATCTTCACAGGAGAAAAGATTAATCAACCTATTAGCTTTGGATATTACTTTTGGTTTTCAATAGAAAAGGTTGTGATTAATATATTTTCTGAATAGTTGTGTATAAGTTTAGCAAATTGTATTGAGAGGTTTGTTGTCCTCAGATAACATGAATAATTTGGTTTTTGGATCTGTTTGTGGCTAACATAATTTTTTTAATTTTGCTAATATGTTTTGACCACCATTGACAAAGCATTAATCCCTATAAAGAATAAGCCTCTAGTGCAACAGAACAGAGATTATGAAAAAAATAGAAGGAGAAGATGTGTCATGCAAACATAGAAAATAGTATTAAGTAGACTGATTAGCGTTAGAGCAATATAGGTTAGATCAGAGAATCAACTAAAGCAAGCTTTAACATTCAATATGCAGCAGTTCTACCTCGGTATAAATTTAAAGGAAATAGATCAGAATTCCAGAGACTCACAGAATTGATGGTTCCTGGAAAATTCCAAGAACAACAGAACAAATATCATTCTTTGATGCACCCATGCCTGAATTTTGAGGAAACTAGAAGAATAAAAGCAATCAATTATAATATATAATTCTTTTTAGCTAATAATGTATCAACTATCAAATACCAAGATAAGGTAGGCAGTATACTTGATTGGAAAGAGGAGTCTGATATCCATTAGTTCCATTTGCCAAAGTCAGGTTAATAACTGGGTTCATCTGGATTCTAGTTGGAGCACCTCCCTGTAAATTATCAGTTAGTAGGGGGAAAAGATATTTGACACAGTCAGACATAACAATGCTAGGCATTGCCAATTATACAAATGTCTGATGTTGAATGATACGATAAATCATCTACAAATGCTGGTACCTTCAGTCTGGTGTTCTCTAGATGTACACATACGCACTCAATGAAGTGGAGAGAAATATCATTGAAGTCAATCACAGGCCTGAAAAGAAAGATAAGATATTAAATTAAAATACTAGGACATGAGAGACAAACAAAACCGTAATCAAGGTATGGCAAATAGTTTCAGCAAGAAGTTTGTATTTCATGATATTAAATGATCTGCAAGTATCACATCAAAATTCCTAGAATCTTTTCATCTGAGCAACAAGCAGTGAGGCTTATTTCCTAATCAACAGCGAGATTAATAATATTTGACTATCTGTCAAATCAGCTAATGAAACAGTAGGCTTTGGCTTTGCACAACTCATAATTAAAGACTGAAGGTTCATGGAGCAACATATCACATGCCTAAGCTCACTTTTCTTGTTGAGAGATGCATTACACTAAACTAGCTTGATCCATAAAGAAATCTGTATATAAGGAAAACCAAAGGTAAGATGAGACTCAGTAACCAAAAGACATCAACTACTTAGCCTATCTAAAAGACTAAAATGTAAGCAATTTCAAGTAATTTTTTCCCTTAAAAAAAACCAATTTCAAGTAACTAGGTTGGAAAGAAATTGCAACCTTGATAGAAGGAAATAAGTTCAAGACATATCATGAGAGGAGGTTTATGGTTCTTAATTTGCTCAGGAAGATGGTGATTGATGTTGGAGAACAGCATTATCATAGCTGGATTGTAAAATGGGGCATGGGGGGACAACGATATTGTACGATTTAGAACTATATTGGTGAACAAACAAAAATGATATTATCATTTGACATTGTATCACTGTTCATACATTCTCCTATTTAAATAACTATAATACTCATTTGGCCTTGAGTTTTTTCACTGTGTAGGTCATGCTTTCTAGTTTCCAGACAGTTCGTAACTCTGGATTGCACAATTTTGAACAAAGTTTTAAATCCATCAAAGCTCTTAATCCTGCTCCACCCTTTAGGTTAAATCTCAGTTTAAGCTCACTCTTAAGCAATTGATTATACTCTTAAGCAATTGATAATACTCCGATTCAACCTTAGATGAAGGGAGAAAATCAGCTATGATAATGGTAATAATTTAGGGTTTCATTGGAAAAGCTTATGGGTCAGAGTGCTCTGTAGGGATGATTTCCCTGCCCCCATAAAAGCAACGCCCACACACAAAGAAGGAGCAAAAAGAACAAATAACAGGGGAAAGAAACAAGAGAAAAATTTTAAAAATTACTCACGCCTTTGATTTTATACACTATAAAGAGAGAACATAACTGAAAATGAGATACTGACTACAAACCCACAATTGGTCTCCTAGTTATTGCCTGCTCAATCACATGTAACATAGTGAGTGTTCCTCATAGAACTAACTAAATTTGACTTCATTGAACTTGCATTTATATCTTCCTCTGGCTATACCTAGGTAACAGGTTCTTGAATGCATGCTAAATGCTTCTCAGAAGCTAATGAAGTACACAATGATGGAAACTAAATGAACTATAACTCAGAAACACAAATTTCACTTCTATCAACACTTCATAAGAGAGTGGAACAAGACAACACATAACAAAGAGAATCTAACGTTGTCTAATATCTGTAAATGCTTCAACATGAGGAAATATACAAAATTCGTTATTCATAAATATCTCTAAATACCAGAGATGTAAGAATCATAAAAGTTAACTTTAAGGCACAACCTACATATACATGAAGCAGGATAACCAGATTATAATGTACATCATATATAATTATACCAGTTAAACAGACAAGATATAATTTATTACTTATCAATGTGCAACGTCATAGACTCATAGGTAATACAAACAAGAAAGTTACAAGCTTATAACAATAACAAGCCTGTATGCTAAATTTTCGTGATTGGCTACTTTTCTTATTTATTTTTTTATTTTGAGTAGAATGGCAAAAGTTACAACATTCATTGACTTACGTAATTACAAAGGAGTAGGAGAGGAAGCAAGAGGAGTAGAGGAGATAATCTACATATAGGGGAAGTGGAGAATGTAATGGATGTTCAGATCTTGTACACATTGATATCAGAATATGCTTCCAACACAATGATTCATGATGTGGTTAAAGCAATGGGTGATACTCTGGGTCAACTAAATCCTAGAAGAAAAACTCAGTCATTGCATTTTCTCAAGGTGCGACAATTTCAACACGAGCAGGTAACCTGAAAAAAATTTAGCAGGTATCAATCATGTAAAATCTTGTCCGGTCATAATCAAGTAATCTTAGTAAATCGGATAACCCATATTGTTATATGGGTCCTGCCATGATCTAACCTACTAACACATTGACCAAACCAGTAGCTAATAGATATAGTTTGTGTTATCCCTTTAACATCAGCAATCACATGCCTAGTGTTTAGAGCGTTCAATTTTTTGCAATTTTTATGTCTCTAAATACATGTGGATAGTTCCAATCTTGCAACACACGTTGAATATCTTTCTTTAAATCAAAATTCAGTTCGCCTTCTATTTCACATCACATGAAGCCCAACATGCCGTTACTCGAGCTGACTACAAATTGCTCCTTTAAATTTCGGTCAGTTATATATATGATATCCTGACCCTAGCTGTTTGTGACCCCTTGTTTACCCCAAATATACAGGAGATAGCACCAATGATCCCCTCCCCATCATTTTGTACACGGCATCAATGTTTTGCATTCTCTAAACAAACTAAAGGTCATCCTATTAGTTCCTGTATCCTATTAGTTCTATCATAAAGTCACACAACAAATTAACAATATATGACATCTGGAACCACACTCACATCTCATTCTTTACTCCAAAAAAAGTGACCTCCATTTTTCTCATAACCAATCAATCTTACCAGAATGTTCTGTTTCAGTCACCTTCTGTAAATAGTTTTTTTCCCTTGTAAAGATCCCTTAATATTCATCCGAATTCCCAAAAGTCCCTTGTAATGCTTTCAGATCTTATTTTAATGCATGTGCAGTTATAATGTTAATCATTATAACTCTATAAGTTTGGAGAATTTATTCCAACATTTTATTTACCTAGTTTTGAACTCATTTCAAATATTTCCCAGCAACCACTTAAAGAAATTTAGCCAGATTTGATATTCCATTATTCCATCATTCTCCTGTTTTCTTTTTCCAGCACCTTTTTTCTTTTTCTGTACAACCAATTTATTTCATTTTGAAGTTGATGTTATTTACTACTTGTTGAAAATTAAATCAAGAAATGATCTGTTATTATCTAAATTCCATCAAGTAAACCAAAGAATAAAGCTGTTGTTAGTTTTAGTTGGAGGCATTTCAAGCAAAGCAATTGTTAGCTAGTGGCTAGCAGGCTAAGCTTAGCAAAGCATTTGCACTTAAACCACAAGAAAGCTCTAGAGTAACATATTGTATTGAGGCTTAATTAGCTATCTATCCATAAGCAACTCGTTTGCTGTAGCTATACACTTCTCCAGTTATTTTATCTTGCAACTTTGCTTGTCCGCGTCTCATATAATAATATATATATATAATATATATATATATATATATATATATATATATATATATATATATATATATATATATAATATAGATATATAGTATATAATATATATAAGAGAGAGAGAGCAGAGAGAAAATGGAGAACTTGGTACCAAGCTACTTTGTAGTGATGTGGACTTCATCTTGCCCTACATCTACATTGGAGTTGGTGAAGGGTGGTTGAGGCTCTAACTTCAATGTGTGATGTAGGGGCAAGATGAAGCCACATCACTACCAAGTAGCTTCGCGCCTCCAAGTTTCTCCATTTTTCTCATATATGATATATATATATATATATATATATATATATATATATATATATATATATATTTATTTATTTATTTCTCTTAATTAATTTCTGATTAATAAATTTCTGATTTTCTTTCTTTCAGCTCTTGGATAAATGTTACCCCATTTCCAACAAACGAATAAGCAATACGATCTAGTTCCAAGCCACATATACACAAAAGTACAACCAGATTACCCTTTAAAGAAGAAAGAACATTCTTCTTTTTCTTCTTCCCCTTTTCTTTTCTTTTCTTTTCTTGGATTTTCTTTACTGTCTTTTTTCATTGTTTATTTGCTAACTCTTGTCTAAATTCAATCCAACGCATTCATGCATAAAAAATAATCTCAGAGGCATTCCAGAGACCGAGGGCCAATTTTCATACCTTATGGAGAAGGCAAATGCATGCCTCCTGCCTTGAAACTCTTTCACGTGACCATGGACTAGAACATACATCCCATTCCTTCACAAAAGTACATACAGATCAAACGCATTGCACAAAGATGCGCAGAAGACGAATAAAGAACACCTACTCAACAGCGGCCACCTCCACTGAATCTGAAGGGACGCTCACGCTTATCCTTAAATTGACCAAAAACAGAAAAGATTAATAAAGAACCTGCAACTAAATGAAAACGTATCTCTTTAGAGTGTAGACTAAAAAAGAAGCCTCACCATCTATTGATCTCGATCTTTCCGGTACCATCATCAAGCAAGAAAGACACATCGGTAGCTCTCCCCACCTTATCTACCACAACTCCCAAAACCCTAAACTGGATGGAAAAGGGGCTAAATTAGAGGTTTTAAAGGGGGAAAATCAATAAAATTCAACAAAAACGAGAGAAGATTACATTGGCCTCGACCCCATCGATGACTAGGTTGGACTTATCGTCGCTAGAGAAGAGGGATTCAGCGATCTGCTTCACTGTTACCGGCACTAAGCTCTGAGGCCCGTGGTTCTAAGATCAGAAACAAAGAAAGTAAGAACTGAGTAAAGAAAACAATTGATCGAGATGAGAGAGAGAGAGAGAGAGAGAGAGAGAGAGAGAGAGAGAGAGAGAGAGAGAGAGAGAGATGGAGAGAGAGAGAGAGAGAGAGAGAGAGAGAGAGAGAGAGAGAGAGAGACTGATTTCGCTGCAGAGAAAGCGGGATCGGGGGCTTGAGTGGATTGAGAGGGCATGAAATTGTTGCCGGCGAAGAGAGAAGGTCCATCGAACTGGTTGATTGAGGGCATCGTCGTCGTCGTCGTCGGATTCAATTGGGATGAAACCCTAGATCGCGATAGCAAACCCTTATCCTAATGGCGGACGATGGAGATTGGAGAGAGACGAAGGCGCGAAGCTGACGAATGGACAGCGATGCTAGTTTGGGCGAATTTAAATAGTTCGGAGATCATTGATCCCGCCAATTTCGCTTTTGGAAATTTTATCAAAGGGAGAGAATTTAATTTTCGATCGATATCTCCTGATATCTCAAAGATATTTGCATGTTGGGGAAAAATGAGAAAGACCAAAAGCGTTTATAAAAACCTTTTTGTTTTAGGGTCTGTTTGGTTGATTTCCTAAAAACTAAGAAATGGAAATGAAAATGTGGAAATCTCAAAAAGTATAATTTCATTCATTTTCATCCCTAAAACTCACCCACAATATCCAATAAAATATTATTTTCATCCAACAACTCATCTACAACATCTAATAAAATATTATTTTTATCCATAACATCACTCAACTCATCTCATCTCATCATTTCAAATCACTCACATCATCCTATAAGATTGTGACAATTCATCTCATCTCATTAACATTTTATTTCCACCTATTTTCTCCCAAAAAGCTAGGAAAACAATTTCCTTAAGTATGGGTCACATCATTCAATAATATAATGACAACTCATCTCATCTCATCTATTTTCTTATTTTTAAGGGGCTGTTTGGTTCGCTATTATAAGGGGTGGAAAACTCAGAAAACCCCTCCACGTCAGATTTTTAGCCCTCCACGTCAGCTTTTTTGTTTCCGTCCATTTCTTTGTGCCGCTTTGGTTCGCTCGAATGGAAGAGGGAAAACTCTGCTGAAATCGCCGCCAACTAAGATTTTTTTCCCTCTCCGATTTCCTTCCCCAACCAAGTGAAATTGATGAAAACTCTGCCACGTCAGATTTTTTTCCTTCTCTGCTTTGTTTACAAAAGTTTTCCTTTTTTTCTATGCGAATCAAACACAAGAAAAATAAATACATTGGTTTCCCACCATTTTTTATGTGCGAACCAAAGCAAAACAATCTATTTCTTGGAAAAGTTTGAAAAACTCAAAACTTGTGTTTCTTTACATGAAATTGCATTTCTCTATATCAAGGAATCGAACCAAACAGCCCCTAAGAGTAAACCAAACAAAAGAAAACAACCTATTACAGGAAATAGGTTTTTTATAATTCATTTCCTTATTTTTTTCGCCAACCAAACAACATCAAAACAAGTTTTCTTAAAAGATCACTCACATCATCTAATAATAAGGTGACAACTAACATCATCTCATCTCCAATTCTTTGATTTTCTTCTTTTTTTTAGCCAACCAAACATTCCCAAAATAATTTTTCGTAGAAATAGTTTTCTATTTCTTTGATTTCCCTCTTTTTTAGGCAAACAAACAGCCCCTTAGTCACTTCAATCTTTATTAGTACTTCAAATCTTTATTATGTGTTAGTATAAGTACTTGTCATAGGGTTAAGATTAACAACAGTAAACCATAGTTGAGTTTACCCTAACCATGGTTGGCAAGTTACAAAAATACCCCTTACGGGTGAATTAACCCCACTCAAACGTTGTTCCCTCTCTTTATTTTACACTTTAATCTTGTGAAATAACCGTTGGTTTTTAGGGCTATAGTGTTATTTCCGTCGGGGAGAAGAAGAAGAAGAAGAAGAAAGGGAAAATGAGAAATGGGTTTCGATTTTAGGGGATTTATTAATGGGTTTAGGTTGGTGGAGTTATTAACACGTTTCTGCAGGGTCTTTACTGTTAATCGAGGTATGGGATTAAAGTTAACGGTATATACTTTGTCATTTATAACCCCAACTAACGTAGGGACTTCCATCAACACAATTTGAGCATTTGATGGACTAGCATCAATATATGAAGATTTAAGGGACTAATATAAAAATTACTAAAGATTTAAGGGACTAATATCGAAAAAAAAATCCTTTGGCTTAACTGATGGCGAAACACAAATAGTCTTTCGAGTGCCTAAGTTTTATCTCTTTTTCTAGTAAGCTCTCAACTTTTAATTTTTAACAAAAAAAAAACCATTACTTTTAGCCCTCCCTCTCTTCTAAGATTCTAAGAAAGTAAGAAGCTTTCAATGTTCTTTTTTTCAGAGGTCCTAAAATTTTCCCCTTTTCCCTTGGAGGAGAGTGATAAAACTTGTGAGCTTCTTCGTAGAAGTTGAGAACTTACTAAGAAATAGGAGTAAAACTTTACTAAGAAATAGGAGTAAAATTCAGGGGCTTTAGACTCTGTCCTCCACATGTAGTGCTAAATATAAAAGCTTGTTGACTTCTTAATGTTTAACAATCGTGTTTCTATTTACTTTTTTCATTTTGCTTAAATTACTCAAAAAAATAAAAAATGCGTCACGTTTATTCTACATGGTTTTTTCCCATTTCCCATCAAATAAAATGTTCATTATTTAACAAGTTCAACAGAAACTATAAGAGCTAAAAGGTAAAGGATAAGAGGTGGCGTAATTATAGAAAACCTAGCCTGTCAATAACAAATAAGTTCAAGTGCCCTGAAAGCACAGCTTACCTGGTTAAATTTTCCATGAGGTTAGTGTAGCAAAGAAAACACCTCCGAAATAAATTTTCAATCTGTATCATTCAGGGAATCATTATAGAAATAATATTTTCCAATACATCAAAGTACTAGGCTCCTAGCAAATCCATTGCGAAGAAACTATGCATCATCGACATCGACACAAGCTTTGTCAGTGTACCAGTTCTTTTGAAGCAGCGGCTAACATTCCATGTGAAACAAACATCAAATTGACTCATCAGTATAAAGGGAAAATGACCAGAACGAAGAACCGTTTCTTCACTTTATATCATTTGCTTTCTACAAAAGAGAGGTAGACACGGAACAACTTGAATTCGGCGCAAACTAGCTGAATTGATGCATAAAAATGTCCGCTAATATGCACAAACTAACAGTCGATTCGAAAGCATATCGCAACCATGAAGGAAAATAGATTTAGAACCCATCTTTACATAAAGAGTGAGACCTCAACAAAACAAGAACAATAGTTGATGATGATGCCCACAAGGTGTCAGGTATCATAGAAGCGAGATCTCTGCCTCCAACTGCAACATGAAAAATGCATCAGTCAGCCTCGTACTATCGGTAATTAGAAGCATCAACCTTGTACGCATAATAACCATAAGCAAATGATTCACAGTTGGGGCTGTGTTTATAGATCATTCCTTTCCCATCTAATGTTGTATGGAACATTACAAGTTCTTCATGTTTTCCATGTTAAATAACAACAGCTCGTCAAAACTCAAAAGGTTTGGAGGATTTATAGCTTTGGATCTACTGGACAAAAGAGTTGAAGAATGTAATTTCCTTTGAAAACAAAGACAACTTTGAAATAGCAAGAAAGAGACTGAAACAAAACAACAATTGATCGCTGACACAGGGGTGCAAGATGTAACCTAAGTTCGTGTAGTTAAACCCGGGTAAGTCATATAACAGAACTTCAGGAATTTTAAAGTGACCAATGGATTTGACATGTCTATCAAGAATTAGGCACTTCAAATTTTCCAATTTGAAAGAGCATCAAAATAAAATGTTAGTCCCTATTACCTAACTACCCTTGTTGATCCTTCTCCGCTAATTTCCTATAGGAGTTCAAAACATGGTACAACATCTAGCTTTTCCCAACTATCCTCACAGTGGCATTCTTTTTCTTAGCCCACGTACTTCTACAGCCACCCCTAATGCCAGGAAGTTGTAATCAAATATGATACAACTTCCCTATGAAAATATATGCAATTTCATGGCAATCAAGTAAGGAATTGTATGATTCACAAAATATATAAACAAATTCTGTAAACACAAAACCAAGGAATACGATTAGCTAAGGCAGAACAAAACAGAACCTGTGGCGAACAACAGCTCCACTGGATGTTGCCCCACCATCACCACCCATTCCTACAAAGTCTTCGTCAGTTTCATCAAATCTATACTCCGAAACATCCACAGATGATGGAGAACCTTCATCAAGGCTTGAACCATCTGAGCTTGAACGACGACGTCCTCTCCTTGTGCTATTCCCTCTCAACCTCCGCCGGTTTCTTGAAGTCCTAAAGCTACCAAACACCTTATATAAGATGCATGAGTTCCACCATCTGCCTTGACGCTGAGGAAAATCTTCATAGTCATCAGCACCAGTTCCTTCACTGCCATACTCGATGACATAATCACCCAAAACCACACCGTGTGGTACTTCTGCATGAATAGTGCTCAAGACATCAACAATCTCTGAGGACTGCTGGAAATTCTCCCAGTCCAGTTTCCTTGCAGGGTCTATTTCTGATGGACGAGAATGTGGATGTTTTAGTTTGGTATGCTCTTTAAGTTCCATGAAGTTGCCGACATATGAGCAACTTTTTTCTTCACAACATCTTTTCTTCGAGTCCAAGTATGTTCTGGCCTCAACGATGACAGCCCAACCAGTTACCTCTCCTCTGCACAGTGGACAGGACGGGTGGTTGCCAGGGCTAGAAGGGATCACTTGAAAGGCTTCGCTAGAGGACCAGTCTGAGGTTGATGGATCCTTTGGAGCTGTAGACATCCTGTATGCACTTTTGAAGCGGTTGAGACAATTTGAGTGGGTATGATCAGTGTCACACATGAAGGGCCGACAACCTTTATGATAGGAAGAGCACTGGAGTAGGACACCATTGTGAGGGAAATCCAAGCAGATAGGGCAAGTCACATCCTCCCAATTAGTGTTCAGTTGAATGCCCTCCTCACATAAAGATATAGAAGAGATTGCACTGCTAAGGAAGGAAGTTATTGTCATGGTAAGAGTTCTTTTTAGATGAACATTACATTTTATACTGCCAGGGAGATGTCCTTCTAGTTAGGTACGGAGGACTTGTACCTGCGTAATTCATTCAAGTTTGTCAAAACAAACAATTGAGACAACAATACTAAAAGTACTAAGCAGCCAATCTTGTAAGGCTAGTAAAGGATTCATTAAAAAAATGGTGAGGGAGTTGTATACAAAAAATATACTGTTTTTCTAAGCTACAAGTAAGCCATAAATACTAGTTAAAACCGCTCTCCACACCATTTTTACTGGTTAAGTTGAGCTCAACTTTCAAAATCTCCATATAAGCCCAAATCACATGAAGTTTATTGCAATAACTACATCTTGATCACGATAAAATATTTTCTTCCACAATGAATCAGACAAGACCTAAACCAAGAGCAAATTGAGATGGTATCAATGAAAGATTAACTTCCCACAACTGACAGGAAAGTCCAGGTTGAACCAATAAGACTTAAAACTAGGTGGCTACAAAGGAAATCTACCTAATTAGTCGCTAATTTTGGCACATCCAATCAAGGACAACCTCCCAACATATTCAATTAACGAAACAATCAAATTTGTCTCCAAGGCACTTAGAAAATTAAGAGACAGATTTAACCTAATCCCATTGTATGTACACTAGATAAATAAAGCAAAAACAATGCCATAATTGAAATGCAAAGACCTATTAACTACACCCAAGAATCTCCTCCAAATTATAACTACTACAAAAGCTCAGGCAGGTCTAATAAGACTTTTGGAAAGCAGGCCTAGGTAGGCAACCTATATCTGCATAATGAGTGGCAAAAGAAATAAAACCGGAACCTTTACGTCTAAAGCTGAGGCAATTAAATGTATATGCATCACCTGTACTCTAAAGATATTGATGCATTAGTAAAACAGTCAAATCAGATGTTATTTACATTTTTGTATGGTTTCAATATGTGATCGAGAATCATGTTTGTATAAATTGGGTAGTTACCCTAAAATCGTATGTTATTTACATTTTTGTATGTTTAGACTATAGACTTTAGTAAGTATATGCTTAGATTGCATTTAGATTTAGGAAATTATTTTATATATATGCACAACATCCGAAATGGCAATCTGATATTTAATACGTATCCCCGATTTATCCCTATTTCGCAATCCAATATGGATTTTAGCTGTCCAACATGTTCCTGCCATTTGACATTTAAAGCCTCAATATTAAATAAAGTTCAAAGTTCACGAAGGTTCTATGAACGTCCAAAGAGTTACAGAGGTTAATTTACAGTTCTAAAAGTTAGGGCATTGGCTCAAAATGGACCTAACGTTAGTGTGGTTTTTGTAAAATTTACGCAAACTATAATGCACCAAAGCATTTTCAACCTATGTTAAATGGCAAAAGGAATATAAGAAATGCTTCTCCAAAGGAGCCATGATCAAGCAAGACAAATACCATACATATATAGTACTTTACGATATATTTCTATGAAACTATAAGGCATACACACAAAAAAGGATATATTTGCATATATTTGATTCTGTTAGAATTAAATCATTTAATTACATGTCAAGAAATTAATTATCCAAAATATGAGGCTTCGAATATTAAATCTTTAAAAATACATATCATAAAGTATAAAAATGAAAAGACAGATTTATGAATCTCACTTTTGCGGGCAATCATTGCAAAGCCCAAGGAAGTTTTGTCATGGGATTATAAGGAATACTGAAAAGAAAGATCAAAGAGTGAAACTTCTGTTGGCCTTCTTGTTTTGATGATGTTTAACAAACAATTTACAACTAATGTTGTTTGTCTAGTGTTTGTGATTTTCTATTTATTGTAGACAAACAACATGTTGGAGGTTGGATGGATTGCGCCACAACGATCATATCAAATGGAGGTTGGCGGAAATAGTGGTTGAAGCCTTGCATTTCAAGTTGAAGATCTAAGTTCAAGCTTCATCCGCAAGTTTACCAAGTTGAGCTTATTGAAGATCCTCATCAAGCTTGGGTAATTTAGTTTAGGTTTTATACTTGTGTGTAGATACTTTAAGCTCATATATACACACACACGTATTTGGTTTTTATATATAGTTATATATATATACACATTTTGGTTTTATCCACAAATAAAGTTTTTACAAATAAATTCCAAAAAATGTTTATACATGTGGATAAGTTGTTTTGGTATTATAGATATGAAATAAGAATTTTATTTATACACATCTCATTTGTTTCATATTCTATTGTATTTTCAAAAATATTGTGTTTTTAGTTTATAGACTTAACATTCACTGTATACATCTTTTATTAAGTCTATAAAATCATTTTGTAAAGTTTCAAAACATAATTTAGCTAAAATATCAAAAACATATTTTTGTATTTTCATGTTTTGGACTAGTTTTGAAAAATGATAAGATTTTACTATTGGGAAGTGCAATTCTAAAAATTCCTTTTGTAACATGTTTATTATCATGTTTATAATCATTTTTTAAAGTTTTATATTTTTCTGAATTTATTTGATATTTTTAAACCATGTTTTAAGTTGACGTGTACTGTTTAAAACAGGCTGTGTGCATGTCTTGAGTCGACTCATGAACATTATTGAGTCGACTCATAAACTGTTATGTAGTTTATATTTTATTTCTGACGAGTCGACTCATAACATCATGAGTCGACCCAGACAGGTTGAGTCGACTCATGTCTGTCACAAGTCGACTCATAAACTGTGCTGGAAAGTGTGTTTTGTTTCTGATGAGTCGACTCATGACTTCATGAGTCGATCCATGCATGATGAGTCAACTCATGAATTTTATGAGTCGACCCATAAGCTGTTTTTAGCCTATAACGGCTATGTTATGAGTCGACCCATGATTTTTATGAATCGACCCATAAAGCGTTCGTTGCACAGTAACGACTATTTTCCAGCCTTGTCCTGATTTGGTTTTTTGGTCATTTTGATTGGGTTTTTACTGATGTTTTGGGTGGCTATATATACCCCCCTTGCTCTCATCTCTCAGTACCCATCTAAGAAGTTTTTAAACAAGGTTTAACAAGGATTTAAGTTTCGTTTAGTTTTGTTTCAAGTTTGGTTTGTGAAGATTGTTTCACAAGAAGAGGAGATCATCTTTGGTTTGAGCTATCCACTTCACATCTCCATCTCTCTTATTCTAGAGAAGTTTTTTTAACTCAATTATCTAGCTTGTTTACATTTATATTATCATATTTATATTTGCTAGACTTTAATTGAGTTTGATTTTATTTCTCTTTGTTTACACACACAACCATTGAACTTATTGTATTTACATTCATAGTATAATTTGAGTTGTGGGTTTGTGACATTGAGAGTGAGCTTAATTGTGTTCTCATCTATTATAGAGAACAAATTTGTATTTGTGAGCTTCATTGTGAGTTACACATTGTATTATACTTGGACACCGAGAGAAGTGGTTGGTGAGAGACGAGATCGGTTCCAAGAGGAGTGGGGTCGACAGTAAAGCCTAGAGAGAGAGGTGGTAATTCTGAGCACTTAAGAAAGGACACGGGCTAGAGACCAACACTTAGAAGGTGTGGAGTGTAGTTACATTGTGAAATTATGAACGTTGAACGGTGAGCGTTGAAAACTGATATTGTGTGGTGTAAACGTTATTCGGGTGAGCGTAGAAAACCCGGTTGTGATAGTGAAGATCTCCTCGAGGTGAGGAGCGGAAACGTAGGTCGTGGGGACCGAATTCCGTGAACATATCGTTTGTTTGTGATTGCTTTGACGCACTTATTTTTATGTTCATATCTTATATCGCCTTTGTATATTGTTTGTTGCTTATATTGCCCACTATCTAGTTTAGATTGTTTACCCTTGTGTTATTTGTATATCCTCGCATATATCTCATAGTATATCTCATTGCTAGGATATTTTCCTTTGTTCATATTGCATATTCTTGCTCATAACATATTGTATATCTATCTTGCAAGAATAATTTATTAATAAGTTTTAATTGGTATAAAATCGGATTAGATTAGCACAAGACCCTAATCACCCCCCTCTAGGGTCTAACAACTTCTTGCAGCTAGTAACAATGACAAGGTGGTAAGTTTTCGTCAAGGACATCGGCAGGAAGACTAGACTATATTATAGGTCACTTTGTAAAAGGATTTCCTAGAAATCATGGCAATGAGAAGTACACTATTAGTATTTCCCCTCTAAAGCACACATACCTTAATTTAAATTTGGTGATGAGAATATCAAAAGTTGAGCCTGAGGAACATAGTTAAACACGCATCAAGCACAAATCTTCGACCATATATCCGAGGGGTTTATTCAATGGGATTCACCATTCTAACTTTTCTGGAAACAGTTGAATTACCATGACTACCCTAAGCAAGTGCAGTCCCGAATCAGTATTATACTTTGGTATCTAGTAAGCCAATTCTTCTGTAAAAAGTCTTCACAAAACAACAGATACCGCCATCAACCTCGAGTGACAAAAGTAAAGCTTCAAAAATTAGCAGTTTACAATACAATCTGAGTGAACATCCTCCAATTTCACCTTTTCCACCATTTTACTAGCATACAATCCTCATACGAGCTGAATGAAATTCAATTTCAACTACGAATCGATCACCCGTAGCGGAAGTGGGATCCAATGACGGCCATCATAAAAGTTTTCAATCACTAACAGCACTACACAGAGGACTCCCACAAGAAAACATGATCTCTTCCTTCAGGAATTAAGAGCCTAAGCCCAATGGATTTAGTCAATGTAAATGAGGAAATATCCGCAATCAAAACCCCGAGAACAAATTGAATCGGCCAAACCCTCATCCAAACATAGAACAAGACAAACTCCACTAGCCAAAAGCACATCAATTTGCTCTTTCGATCTAATTAGTATAACCAAATTAACCTAGATCCAATTCGTTCCATCGCAGAAATAAGTACTAACCCCCAAAATTGAACTTCACATAAACATTTAGACAACCCTAGAAATCAAAACCACAGGAATCACCGCAGAATAAAACAGCATAAACATAGAGTCAAAAGCTAATCGAATCAAGAGGAAGCAGAAGCGAACCTTCATTTTCCCTCCGATTAGATTCAGCATTAGAGGATTTTGCTGTTGAAATGCGAGTAACGAAACAAAACCCTACCCTAAGATCTTTTTCGCGTACGAAAAAGGAAAGAGCATAAAAAGGAGAGCGAGAACCGAAGACTTTTTGGGGGAAAAAATGAAAGTAAATATCTTATCACCTTAATTTATATTTATAATTTGCCGATATAGCTGACTTCTGATTATTTTACACGTTAGATGCGCGTGGGAAAACGGGCGGCTGACTTCTTTTAAAGACACGTGTGCTGCGATTGCGAGGTGTGTGGATTTTGATGGGCACAAATTTTGAAAATCATCCTTACTTAAGAAAATGATTGTAAAAATCGACTAATTCACAGAATATTTGTGAAAATCGATCAAGTTTCAGCCGTCGGGTTAAAACTGGATTGATTTTGAAGAAAAATCTTCTGAAACTTCACGGGGCTTCGAGTCCCGTGAAGCTTTTGTACATACAAAACTTCACGGGACTTCAAGTCCCGTGAAGTTTCGGAACATATTTTGTTAAAACCGACTTAGTTTCAGCGAGACAGCTTTTTGTACATACAAAACTTCACGGGACTTCAAGTCCCGTGAAGTTTCGGAACATATTTTGTCAAAATCGACTTAGTTTCAGCCAGACAGCTGTAACTTGGTCGGTTTTGACAAAATTTTTTAAAATAGGTCGGAATTTGGGATTATTTTCTCAAATAGGATGGTTTCCAAAATTTGTCATTTGGATTAATATCTTTTTATTCTTCTGTACCTACGATGATTTTTTATTTAAAAATTCTCTGTGCCTACGATGATTTTTTATTTAAAAATTCTCTGAAACCATATAGAGGAAGTCAAAAATCCAGATTTCAAGGAGTAAATGAGATCCACAATTACAATTTTCGTAACCATCATTTTATGAAAAATATGATAAATTTTAAAGGATAAAGATTGTTCTTACTCGATCACAAAAGAGGAAGTCAGACTTATTAATTTTGTAAACAAATATTCACTCAAAAGATTTTGCGAATAGATAATGGGGAAAACAGGATATATAATCTTATTAAAGAGAATAAATAGTATTAGAAAATAGGGAAAATGTGTCCAGGCCCCAAAAACAGAAACTTCATATGCTGCAGCCTCTCCTAGTTTCCCCCATGTGATTCAGCCCATTGAAGTGTGACATTTTGTGTTGCACCCCCTTTTTAACAATTATTGCATACCAACTAAGCTAAAATCCCCAAAATAACCTTATCCCCTCTCCTCAATCCTTCAAACACAGTTCTCTCTCTCTCTCTCTCTCTCTCTCTCTCTCTCTCTCTCTCTCTCTCCTCTCTCTTTAAAAACAAGGGCTTTCTAAAGCTCGTCGCTCTGGCCCTCGCCCTCCTCGCCGTCGCCACCTCCGCCTAGGCTCCCAAGCCTCCCCCGAGTTCGTCGCCGCGGCCTCCCCTCCTCTCCTCCGCCCGACCTCGTCGCGGTAGCTCGCCGTCACTCCCCGTCTCGCCCTTTACTACGCCGGCAAAATAATTTGGATTTCTTATAGATGCAGACCTGCAAAAAGTTTCGTGTATCAAAATTTGACTTAATGTCGCTTGACGTCATATGTTCTATGATAAATTGAGAAGTTTTGATTGGTCCTTGAAATGTTACAAAAACTCCCTTCAGTCTTTTCATTATATACCTACAAAAGTATCAGGCAGTCTAAATTGGTTTGTACACATAAGACTAAGTATCAGGCAGTCTAAATTGGTTTGTACAAAAGTATCAGGCAGTCTAAATTTGATGTTGGTATTCTTATCTTTGCTTGGATTTTGTCATGGAGTATAAAATAGAACTAACTTGGTATAAAATAGAACTAACATTGTATAAATTAGAACTAACTTGGTATAAATTAGAACTAACGTGGTATAAATTAGAACTAATTTGTTATAAATTAGAACTAACTTGTTATAAATTAGAACTAATATGGTTAAAATTAGAACTAACGTGGTATAAAATAGAACTAACTTGTTATTAATTAGAACTAACACGGTATAAAATAGAACTAACGTGGTATAAATTAGAACTAACATGATATAGAATAGAACTAACACGCTACAGAATAGGACTAACACGCTACAGAATAGAACTAACACTGTGCAGATTAGAACTAACACGCTACAGAATAGAACTAACACTGTGCAGATTAGAACTAACACGCTACAGAATAGAACTAACACTGTGCAAAATAGAACTAACACTCTACAGAATAGAACTAACACTGTGCAGATTAGAACTAACACTCTACAGAATAGAACTAACACTGTGCAGATTAGAACTAACACTCTACAGAATAGAACTAACACTGTGCAGATTAGAACTAACACTCTACGGAATAGAACCAACACTGTGCAGATTAGAACTAACACGCACTAATTTGGATTTTTTACAGGAAAAAATAATTGATCTGGGGTTTTGGGGGGAAATAATTGATGGTAATTGACCTAATGGAATTTTTGGGCATACAAACCTAATTACAAGTTTAACCCCATAAATTTATTAAAGAATGAAGTAAGTCTACTTGGTGCACTAACGATCTTATCAAAAATCCTGTATTGGGAGCACCATGTTCTGCATTTGGGCACAAGAAAGTATATGATCCAATCTTTCCACAAAAAACTTGGCCTCATATGCAGAATAAGCAGGAAAGAGTCGTGCATGGAGTAAAGTAATATGACTAATTCCACATTTGAAACTAAAACTTCAAGGAAAATAACATAAATGATGTTTATTACAGAAACGTTAGAGAACTTCATAAGCATGACACTTTTTATACCTTGGACGTAAAGTTTGATGGATGTCTAACAGAAGAAGCTCGGGATACTTTCGAATAACACGAGGAAGTTGACCTCTCAAGATGCCAAATTTTGTGAGGAATTGTACTTTCCTCCTGAGAGTATTGTCGACATTAGCAGAAAATATCTCTGGGCAGCGACATAATATTCTCCCTATGGTTCTGCCATCAAAACCAATTTCTTTCATAAATAAAACCACCTACAAAGGAATGGGAGAAGTATCAGGAGACTTAAACGCTACAGTGTTAGCTCTAACACGCGGCTACAGTGTTAGTTCTAACAAGTTAGTTCTAACACGCGGCTGCAATGTTAGTTCTAACACGCTACAATGTTAGTTCTAACACGCTACAGTGTTAGTTCTAACACGCGGCTACAGTGTTAGTTCTAACAAGTTAGTTCTAACACGCGGCTACAGTGTTAGTTCTAACACGCTACAATGTTAGTTCTAACAAGCTACAGTGTTAGTTCTAACACGCGGCTACAATGTTAGTTCTAACACGCTACAGTGTTAGTTCTAACACGCTACAATGTTAGTTCTAACACTGTAGCGTGTTAGAACTAACACTGTAGCGTGTTAGAACTAACACTATACCCGCGTGTTAGAACTAACTTTTTTTTTGGACATTTTTTCTTAGCTCCTCCTATCAGGCTCTGTTTTTCCAGTCTGAGTAAAAAAATGGGAGAAGAGTTTAGAAAGAAAAGTAAAGTGAAGTTTGTCCAAAGCTACTTAATCTGATGGCGTCAAAGGAGAGAAATTGGATTGATGAAGAAGATCCTTCAGTCCTCTCTCTGGGTTATTTTCCTAAAGCCTCTAAACCCACTAAAAGAGGATTTTTGGACACACTAAAGCCTCTAAACCCACTAAAAGAGGATTTTTGGACACAGTTGCAGCCAATACTGAAGGTACACTTTTAATCCAGGCAAAGTTTTCTGTAATGGGTTTTGTTCTGTAGAGTCTAATGATCTCCTTCTTTACCATTTTCTTCATTTTTCTTCAGGTTGCCCATCATCACTACATGTTGTTGCCTCTGTTAATGCAGCTAGGCCCAATAGCAAGAGCTCTCAATCAAGGCGTAGTCGAGGGCGAGAAGGGGAGCGACGGCGAGCTACCGCGACGAGGTCGGGCGGAGGAGAGGAGGGGAGGCGGCGGCGAACTCGGGGAGGCTTGGAAGCCTGGGCGGAGGTGGCGACGGCGAGGAGGGCGAGGGCCAGAGCGACGAGCTTTTAGAAAGCCCTTGTTTTTAAAGAGAGAGGGGAGAGAGAGAGAGAGAGAGAGAGAGAGAGAGAGAGAGTTGAAGGAGAGAGAGAGAGAGAGAGAGAGAGAGAGAGAGAGAGAGAGAGAGAAATGGGTTTGAAGGATTAAAAAGAAGGGATAAGGTTATTTTGGGGATTTTAGCTTAGTTGGCATGTAATAATTGTTAAAAAGGGACTGCAGCACAAAATATCACACTTCAAGGGGTTGAACCACATGGGAGAAACTAGGAGGGGCTGCAGCACATGAAGTTTCTGTTTTTGGGACCTGGACACATTTTTCCCTAGAAAGGGAAATATGTTGTGTTTCCTTTTTATTCTGTTTTTTAATTGAATATTTATTTTTAAAATATGTTCAAAAAATGTTATCAGTTAAAGAAGCGCGTCCACTGTGACAGCACAAACATCACAAATAAATGATAATCTCAGTTCAACAAATCAATCAAGATCGCGCTAGTTCATGGAATCCCAGCCTCGTTATTGGTTTGCAGGTCATCATCTATTGAAGGGCTACCATTAACCAAAGCAACGTACAACCATCAAGCAATCCTTTAAAATCAATTTGCGTCCTGAAATCAGACACCAGATGTTGTGGTAGACATGAAATTTTTCCGTACGGTTCACCCCTGCCAAGTGCCAACACGTTGTTTAGTTATTTAGAACATTAGCTCAGAGTGCACTTAGATTAAAACAAAAGAGTACAATATAAATCAAAAGATGCTGTTTGTGAAATGCACTGAGCTTTTAAGACACCAAACTGAGCTTTTCCAGAGTCGGCCAATTCAAAATTCAAGTACCAAACAAGTTGCGAACACCTAATGCCTCTCGACAACGGTGTACAGAAAACAGAATATTTAAATCACACCAAAATTTGAACCCCAAAAAAATGTCGAACAAGCAATAGTTTCGAATATGCAGATAGGAAAGCGTTCGATAACCAGTGTTGAAGAGAAGCACGGTTCGCAGGTAAAAGGCCCCAGATCAATATGGGACATTCTTGGGAAGGTTTCTGATGACATTGCTCTTCATTCCCATCTTTGAGCGCATTGCTTCAACGCCCCTCTTGTTCATCTCCCTTATGACCTTCATCCTCACCATCTGCTCTCTTGATTGCACTGTGGCCAAGCCCATGCTCCGGTACCTACAGGATTCAACATCGTTAAAATTTCACCAATTCTTGTACTATTCAGCCTCGCCTTTCATATCCACCACTTTTAACAAAAAATTTAAACTTTATTCTTCCTCTTTAAAATAAAAAAAGAAAGAAAGGAAAAAAGCGAAAAAATTTATTTAATGGATGGGAAATTGATACGATGATGAAAACTTGTCATTCCAAAATCTATAACAGTTCCAGGAGAAAATTTTCCCGATTAGATTGCCTGGACTGAGGTTTCAACAGAAATTATGAGGCCTTATATGCAGAGCCTCTCCATAAAGATCCATGGAAGCATTGCCAAATGACTGCTTATAACTTGATACCTATCGCTGCATATCATGTACTAAAGGTATTTGATAAATTACTAAAATCCTCGCAACATCAGTAAACCACCTTCACACATCATATGAGCATAGCAAGATGACTGCTATAACTTGGTACTTGTCAATGCATATCCCGTACTAAAGTTATTTGGGAAATTTACTATAAAATCCTCCCAACTTCAGTAAACCACCTTTAGCAACGCCCCCATAAAACACCAACAGAAGGAACGTGATGTAAAGAAACTGAAATACTAAGGAGAGAGAAAATTGTCATAAAGTATTTTAACTGTTCCTCCCTTGAGGACCTTATACAGGTGTAGCTGGTTGAAGGTAGACAATGACAATTCAATATATAGTACTTCTGCAGTAATGTGCAGTACAAACATGGCATGATGGGTAATTAACAGTGGAGTTCCTTTATATTTCACCTCCTTAAAGATAAGTATCCATATATCTGTTTCTTTTCATTTTCATTCAATTTGTTATTTATCTTTTTTATACTATCAATCACAGCATTTTTATCAACTTCCTTGTCTAAATTATTTTTTACTTCATTTTACAACAACTTAATCACTGCGCTAATAAACTAGGATTTCACAGTGCCCTAAAACATCCATTTTAGACTGCAATTCAAACCTGAAATCAAAATTATTTTTTACTTCATTTTACAACTTGATCACTGCACTAATAAACTAGGATTGAAGAAATTTCTAAATAAACTCATTCATATTTTTTTTCTAAAAATAGACCCCCTTGAGTTTTATTTACAAAAATAGACCCATTTTATCTTAATTCGGTTCTTAAATAATCGGGGTTGCCGGGGCAACCCCGGCAACCCCGACTATTTAGGAGGTTGTAAACCCCCAATTATAACCCTAAACTCTAACATTCTATGCACTAAATAGTCGGGGTTGGCAACCCCGACTATTTAGAAACCGGATTAAAACAAAATGGGTCTATTTTTGTAAATAAAACTCAAATGGGGTCTATTTTTAGAAAAAAAATTATGAATGTGTTTGTTTAGAAAATTTCTTCAACTAGGATTTCACAGTGCCCTAAAACATCCATTTTACAACAACTTGATCACTGCGCTAATAAACTAGGATTTCACAGTGCTGAAATTCACTTCTATGAATGAGTGCCACTTATTTACCATCTTTGACAACCAACCAGATATACCTAACATGTGTCGATGCCATCATGTAGCACCTTTCGAATACTGAATGAGCACAAAACCAGTAAATAATGTAGGTCTTCCATATTGAAAGCTTACTGTCTTTTGTGGAAAACTTGTCCTTCTACTTATACCATCAAGAGGGTGTAAGAGGTGTCAAAAACTGGGCAGTAACCCATACCTAAAGAAACAAACAATTGCTTATACACTAAAAAGGAAAAAGAACTGGGGCCTTATCCAATAGAATTAAGCATTCACCAGATACACCTTTGGATATATAATTCTTTTTTAAACTAACATGTTAAAACAACAGAGAGTCCTCACGAAGTGGTAAAAAGAAGCTGATACAGCTAACCCAACAGATTCTAGACAAAGGCTTTGTTGCTACAACAGTGCTTTTGTTTAATATAATTTGTAGGGTAGGTAAAAGTTGGCTTTTCTCGAATGACATCAACAGAGGAATTATTTATTGTCGAAGATACTAATCTGTCATATTTTCATGAAATTAAGGTGCAAAAATACCTTGAGGCTAATGAAGCAGCTAGAGCAACACCAGTGGCAAGAGATGGCCGTGGTTTCTGGCGGTAATAACGGAGAAATTCTCGGGATCCAAGAGTTCGAACAATAGTTCTGTTTTCAGTCTTTTGAGTTATAATAAGCTCAGCACCTGCACTTCCTAGTTCAACACTGCTGTCCATGTCGGTTGATGCCACCAACTGTTTCCCTTCAGCATCCACATAGCTAGCAAAACACAACAAAAAAACCAGTTTAAACATATTAGAAATGTCGATAGGGTATAAAAGGAGTACATCCAAAATAAGCTAGCTTCAACAATTGAGAATAAAGAGAGGTTAATTATGATGGTTCAGCATATACAGGAGAGACTGCACGATGCCAATGGGAGGAGTATCTTATTGATACTAGATTGAGCAACAGACCGTGCTTAAGCATAAACGGACAAGTATTAAGATAATTAACAAAAAGACTTGCGACTTGTTAACATAACAAATTGCACACCTTCACCGAGCTGAATGAGGAAAAGATTCATTTAGCTGATACCAAAGATTTTAGGATAAATGATTGTTCTTGCTTTGTTATTGACAAGTACAGTTATAATACATACGGCTAAGAGATTCAAACATAACCTTTGCAGGTTCTTCTAGTCCAAGAATCCAGTAGCTCCATGTTTATTGAAATAGCAAAACTTTTTTCTTCCTGATACCTAGTTTTCCATTCATGGATTGCTATAACTTAAAAAGGTAACTAAGGATTGTTCCTAATATATCAAAGGAAATTAAGCTGTGAACTTTATGCATACTTTGCTTATTATGATGCCCCTCTTAGAAGGGTGTCTCCACAGCGACATGGTTTGCATCTACTGGGCAAATCCACTATCTTTCAGGTCAGAGTCATAGGCACCTCTAATAAACTCCTTAACACATAACCTTTCCATATAACTATAAGTGATGATCTTAACTAACCAAAAGAAGCCAATTGATCAAGAAGTTATCCTGAGGCTATCATTCAGGGGGCAAAAACTACATTAGGAGAACTCCTTATTACAGACAAATATAGCCTGAAAGTTGTTAAGGTGAATGTTTAAGGCAACTCTTAACCATCCTTGAGGCAACTATTTTTACCTGTTACTTCATGCCCATACCCCCTTCCCCTTTTCAGCCTTCCTTATGCAAGAAGATGCTTTAGGAAAAATGATCTTCCAAATTACAGTAAACCAGATTCTTAAATCAATACCCAGACAAGTCTAGAAAGCCTCCCTAAAACCTTTAGGCATATAGATGCTGTAAAGTAGAAAGATAAGAAAGCAAAAAAGGCAGGAAATAATGCATAAATAAACTGGGACTCAGAAATATTTTGTATATAACTATGTATAATATGGAGCATGAAGATTAGGCAAACATTTGGAATACTAAAAGCTTTCTAGAAGTTAACTTTAATCAAAGCTAACTAGCCCTCAATGAATCGCATAAGAATACAGATGCACCTCGATATATTTCTTAAGTTTCACAGGTCTGACAAACTAGATCAGTAGTCCGCATAAATTACTAATACTTACAGAAATCAATGCATATTTATATAAGAATGAAACCATCATTTGATATTTTAAGAACCGAAAATTGCATAGTTAACCTATTACGTATTCAACAGTAGGCATTAAAATCTTCACAGGTCTCCACATGAGATTTCCACTTAACACTGGTTACTGCTAATTGTCAACATTACATTATCAGTTAAGAATTGTTAGCAAATTGCATCACTTATGTCCCTGAGTGGACAAACTTCTAAACCTACTTCAATACTTTAAAACTTAGTTATCCACCACACTTTTTGCATTTCATCAGCCAATTATTGCACAAAGCAAATCAGCATTACCAAAGCAGAAAAATAAATGGAACACAACACAATCATTACTGCAAAAAAAATTGAAAGTCAATTAGTTGTAAATTTGACCCCTTGACTGAATATGTTAATAACTCAAATAGGAAATACATTGTAAGAAAGCATGCGCACATTTGGAAAGGCCATCACTAAATTTGTACCACAGATCTATTAATGTAAGTTTTTGTTCAGCAATTGGATAACATTGCAGTGAAATTAGTTTAGAAAATGAAAAGTATTGTTACTACATACTAACATCGCATATTAAGACTCTAAGTGCAAAAAATTCTGAACCATGACACTTTACCAGAAGTTAGTTTATGTAAGCAAAATAGGCCTTGTTATTAGATGCCTATATATCAATGCTAGGGATTTGTAGAGAGACAACTATCTACATTGACCTAGAGAGGAAAAAGGATTTGCTGAGAAAACCTGCTGCTGTAATCATAGAATTCTTCATATTCTGCTTCCTCATCATCACCTCCATCTCCAAATCGTATTTTACAATGGCCTTTAGCTACCATATGCTTCCTCACAGCCTCCAAGCTTTGAAAAGGATGACATCTCTCATTGCAGTACAAACACATGAAGTCCCTTTTAACCTGCGTGGAGAAACACCGACAAGAGGAATAAATCTTAATTCAACACCATCTTGAAACATATTGCTCTATAGGCAATAGAACTGAATATTCATCTCACCTTGAGAGCAACATATGTAAGAAGGCTCTCTGGATCTTTCAAATACTCAATGTCTGGAATGAAGAAACCATGTTGCTTGTGCATGTGAATCATACAGTTTTCTGTGCTCTTGTGTTTAACATCACAAACAAAACAACAGGATGTATCAATTTCTTCATCTTCATCCATGTCATCGCTTTTGTCAGCACCAGAGCCCGAAGCATGCTCGTCAACATGAAGATCGTTAAGAGATTCAGAAGCCATATCCAAAGAGTCAACCTCCTCCCATTCATCTTCGCTCTCTTCACTTTCTTCATCCTTCTCGTGGGCCTTTCTGGTTGAAGTTGACTTGCTTGGTGCATGAACTGCTAGTGGCTTAATGATAGTAATTCCTGCAACTTGAGGACTTGATTCCTGAGAAGCTCTCATAATATGAGTACGTGAGTTAAGATGCTGAGCATGAGCCTTTGCACTCCTGTATTCCTTCCCACAAAGAGCACAACTGTATGACATGGGCCCTGCACTCAACTTGCTGTGCTCTTCAGCTAATGCTGACTGCCTAGCCTGAAATAATGCTTCTGTTACTCCGGGGACACCTGCCACCTGACCATAATAAAAAGAAAGGAAAAACAATTTAATGTTAATGCATTGCCAGAAGATACAAGATCGATCGGCTAAGACAAACATCATAAACCATAATCAGAACACGTAGATAAAAAGACAAAGGAATATACAAGGAAACAATGCTTCAGATATAGTAAACTCAGGAGGGGAGGGAGGCAGAAGTACAAGTGGATCATTGTAATGTTCCCTTGCCTTTAGGGAGGAAAAAAACAAGTAGGGGGTGCAGGGAAGAAAGACACCCCAATCCCCCCACCCCCCCCCCCCCTCTCTCTCTCTCTCTCTTATATTTTTAAGGCTTAAGTTTGCTCAACAAAAGTCCGCCGGAACCAATTTCCCTTGGAGTACACTGCATCAGTCATGACAAAAGCAAATCACAATGATTGATCATCTGATTTTTTGAACGACCCAGTTTAAAACCCTTTCACTCATTAAAAGATAGAACTTAAATCTTGCACCAAATAATTCATCCATATCTCCAACAAATATCATCTTACTTGTTTCTAATCACATCATACAATTTAAACTTCGAGGTGTGCTAATAGTGCACCCATAATGCTGCTCAATTAAAACCCTTTTGCTCATGAAAAGAAGAGATGCTTTAAATCTCGCACCAGATAATTCATCCACATCCCTGATAAGTATAATAAAAATCATTCGTATGATCACATCATGCAATTCGGATTTAAACTTCGAGATCTGCTAACATTTATGCATTTGTAAGTCAGTCAATTATATAAAACCATTTGTAAGTCAGTCAATTATATAAAACACGCATGTGGTGTTACTGATGCCTTTACAAGTACTGGCTGTCAAGCTCGTCGCAAAAGATCCAGCCAACATTTTCAAAATTCCCAAAGCAGTACAGACCACTGCAACTTATATATCTATCGAAAGAACAACAAATTGCCCAGTAACAGAAAAGGTAACACATAACTAGTAGCACGTACAACCATAAAACACAATAATAAAACTGATTTCTCTGAGAATATATAAATTTCACACGTAGCAACTAGTGTAAACGCACTAGCTTGACAATAGAACTACAGAATTAATCCCGGACGAGCTTACATGTGCAAACAAAGAACTGGCACAATAAAGAAAACACGACCTCATAAATTTAGGTTTTTACTCTGAAGATACAACATCTCATAAGATAGTGTGTTTTGAGTAGTAGCTTTCAATTTCAACTAACAAAACAACTTTAGAATTTCTCCCAAATTTGCAGGTTTATGCAAATTACGCTAAATATCTATAGTCATCGCTGGATGATCTAAACCCTGCAAGAAATTCGTAACTACACCACAAACCCTAATTTCAACAAAAAAAATTTATAGCAAATGATGGCGAGGTGAATAGGTTGGATAAATAAATAAATAAATAAATAAAAACCCTAACCCTAGATACAAGAAAGAACCGATACCTTTCGCTTGAGATTGTAGCGGTGCCATTCGGATCGATAGTGGACCTTCTGCTGAGCGTCGTCGTCGAACTCTTTGTTGCAAGCGTTGCACGTTAGCACCGGCATCGTTCTTTGCCTTCTCTCTCTCTCTCTCTCTCTCTCTCTTCGTGAGAGCTGAGAGAGGATTTTTATTTTTTATAGAAATAGAAATGAGGAGGAGAGAGATAATACCAGAGCGCGTCGGAGGCGTTGATTGATGTCTGCGCCAGCGATGACGGCGGAGAGAGTATCAAGGCGGTTGGAGGCGATGGCTAGTTGGGCCGTAGGATCTGAATAACGTTGATCGACAACCGTTCATATTAATGGGCTTAACTGGGCCATCTTATTGTGACGGTTAAATGGGCTGGAATAGGCTCCTCACGGCTTTATTATTTATTATTTATTATTTTTTAAAAAAAAAACATGCTTATAAAGTTCTGAATTTTTGCATATTCTTGATTACTTGAAGTGATGTTTAAATTAGAAAGTATTTGGAATTCACTCCACTAGTCGTGAACACCGTGCTTTGCACAGCATATAATCTTTTTCGTTACAGCAATCTTGATTTTTGAATGCTACAGTGTTGTTTTTAATTTTTTGGATTGCTACAGTTCCCGCCTCTGCTAAAGATTTTTTAGATTGCTACAGCATTCTCATGTGCTACAGCGATGTTTTTTTAAAAGTGCTATAATATCCAGTTCCATGTCTGGTATAGTAATAATACTACAGTAAAATGCTACTGTAGCATTTACTGTAGTATGAATAGTAAATCTTGGGTTCTCCCATTTGTATAGAGGAGTAGATATCCTGATTACTTAAGAAAGCATCACTTGTCAAAACTATTGTTTCATCTCAAGAGCATCATTGCTCTAGTTCTTACCCTTGTTGGTTTTCCTCCTAGTGGAGGAAACCAAATGGTATTTTGGTTTGGGTTGGATAACCAAAATACCCATTAAATCCGTAGGGCAAATTTGCCAAATTAGCTTCTGATTAGGGTTAATAATCAGAATGCCAAAAATTGGAAATAGTAATAGACAAATTCATTTTGAGAGAAAAGAAGGGAGAAGAGGAAAAGTCACTTTCGTTCAGCTATGATCGACATAAAGATCGGACACTCATCTGTGGTATGATCGGTGTGAAATTTGGAGGGTAGCTTCTACACTCGTTGATCTTAATTCTGAACGGTGAAGATTGGTTTCTATTGGTTGGTTTTGGAGATATCAAGGTTTTACCGAAGCTGATCGTTCCAGGGGTGCAGAGAACGTCTTCTTCTGCATTGTTTTTATCGTTTGGATAATCAGATGGCGATTTCTTCTCTGATTGATCTGAAACTTTGAAGGTGCATCTTAAACTCGTGGTTCTAGGATTTGAACAGTGGAGATTTGATTTGGTTACCGGAATCCTTGTGAACCAAGATTTTTTCATACAGCCTAAGGTTTGATTTTCTTATTGTGATCTCTCGCTGCAATTTGTTTGATTTGAGATTGGTTGTTGAACCTGGAATCTCTGTATTACATCTCTCGTTTACTGAGAATGTAGAGTGGATATTGTAACCCAAAGTTTATTCATTATAGTGAATTTTTGGGTGAACTACAGTCCCATGGTTTTTACTCCTCACGCCGAGGAGGTTTTCCACGTTAAAATTAGGTTGTCTCATTATTTCTGAATTGTTTGCTACTAGGATTGTTATTTTGATTTCCTCACAGGTTCTCACAAGTAAGGGATTGGCTGTCTTGATCCCAACAAAGTGGCATCAGAGCTTTGGGTTCAATTTTACTTGTGTTAAACAATAGACACCAATACTAGCAGGACGATAAGTTTGAATGGTTCTAATTATCAAATATGGAAGGGCAAGATTGAAGATTTACTTTATGTGAAGGATTATTATTTGTTGGTGTTTGCTGATGAGAAACTAGAAGATAAATCCGAAGAGTAGTGGACATTGCTTCATCGACAACTATGTGGTTTGATTAGGAAATGGGTGGATGATAATGTTTTGAACCATATCAATAGTGAACTCATGCTCGTTCATTGTGGAGGAAGCTAGAACAGTTGTATGCTCGAAAAATTGGGAGTCATAAGTTGTATCTGATTAAGAAGATGATTGATTTGAAGTATGAAGAGGGAACTCCGATGTCAGATCACTTGAATGTGTTTCAGAGATTGTTCAATCAGTTATATGGTATGGGAATCACCTTCGATGATGAGATTCAAGGTTTATGGCTTCTTAGTACACTACTGGATTCTTGGGAGACATTCAGAATGTCACTTTCTAACTCCGCTCTAGATGGTGTTATCTCGATAGACTTAGCCAAGAGCAGTGTCTTGAATGAGGAAATGAGAAAACGATCACAAGCTAGTTCCTCACATTTAGTTTTGATTATTGAGTCAAGGGGGAGGAGTTTGAGTTAGGATCCGAAAAAGGGAAAGAACACGAACAGGAGCAAATCGAATAAATTTACGTATGTGGAGTGTCATTATTATCACAAGAAATGTCACATCAAGAACAATTGTTAGAAATTGAAGAAAGACAACAAGAATGAAAAAGGAAAGAAACAAGGAGACAATGGGGAACAAGTTGCAGTCTCCATAGATGAGTTTCTCATTATTCTTGATGATGAAGTGATAAATGTTGTGTGTCATAAGACTAGTTAGGTCATTGATAGTGGAGCTTCTATTCATGCTACATCTCGACAAGAATTCTTTGCTACATACACTTCGGGCAATGTTGGTTCCGTTAAGATGGGTAATGACGGTTTGGCTCAGGTTGTTGGCATTGGGGATGTTTGCTTGGAAACTAGTAATGGTACTAGACTTATGCTTAAGGGTGTGAAGCATGTTCCGGATATTCATTTGAATTTGATTTCAGCCGAAAGACTTGATGATGAAGGTTTCTGCAGTACATTTAGTGATGGTCAATGGAAACTCACAAAATGTTCTATGGTTGTGGCTCAAGGTGTTAAGTCTTTGTCTTTGTATATGATGCAGAATAAGCTCTCCAAAGACATTGTTACTATACAGAATGATGATGTTATTGAGTTATGGCATATGAGGCTCGGTCACGTAAGTGAGAAAGGAATGTCTGTATTATCTCAGAAGGAGGTCATTTCGGGAATATCTGAAATGCACTTGAAGAAGTGTGCTCATTGTTTTGCTGGAAAACATCACAGAATCTCATTCAAGTCTTCTGCACCTGCAAGGAAGCTGGAAATACTTGATCTGGTGCATTCGGATGTGTGTGGTCCATTGAAGACAAGGTCACTTGGTGGTGCCTCATATTTTGTCACATTTGTTGATGACCACTCAAGAAAATTGTGGGCTTACACTATGCAAAGTAAAGATCAAGTTCTTGGTATTTTCAAGTAGTTTCAAGCATTGGTTGAGAGACAGACCGGAAAGAAATTAAAGTGTATCCGAAGTGACAATGGAGGCGAGTATTCTGGACCATTTGATGCATATTGTCGGGAAACATGATATTAGGCATCAGAAGACGCCACCTAAGACGCCTCAGTTGAATGGGTTGGCTGAAAGGATGAACAGAACACTTGTTGAGAGGATCCGATGTTTGATTTCTCAGTCATGCTTATCGAAATCTTTCTGGGGTGAAGCTTTGAGCATTGTGGTTCATGTGTTGAATTTGTCACCTAGCGCACCTTTGAGGGTGATGTTCTAGAAAGGGTTTGGACTGGTAAGGATGTTTCCTACAGTCATTTGAAGGTCTTTGAGTGTAAAGCATTTGTTCACATTCCTAAAGATGAGAGGTCGAAGCTTGAAGTAAAGTCTAGACAAGTACTATTTACAAGTACTGTTACTATTTACAAGTACTATTATTATTCACAAATACGGTTCGGGAAAGATGTAATCTTTCGCCTGGGATCTACAGTTGAAGACAACATGCTTCGAATTGAGAAATTGGATGGCCAAAATTTTAAGTATTGGAGGATGCAAATAGAAGACTATTTATACCAGAAGGATCTCTTCCTACCACTCCAAGGAGAGGCGGGAAAACCTGAGAAAATGGATGACGATAAGTGGAAAGTGCTCGATCATAAAGCACTTGCCACCATCAGGCTTAGTGCTCGATCGTAAAGCACTTACCACCATCAAGCTTAACCTTCATCAGCATGCGACTTACAACTTCTCGCATGCGATCACCACCAAAGAGTTGATGGAGACCTTGGAGGCGGTGCATGAGAAGCTGTATGCTTCAAATAAGGTGTACCTGATGAAGAAGTTGTTCAATCTAAAGATGCAGCACGAAGCTCACGTGGCGGACTTCTTGAACGAATTTCAGGCTATGGTGCAACAGCTTGCTGCAGTAGATCTCAAGTTCGACAATGAGATCCAAACACTTCTGCTACTTTCTTGTCTATCAAATTCATAGGAGAATATGGTGATGGCGGTGAGCAATGCTAATGGCAATAACAAGATGAAGCTCGACACAGTGATTGGGGCAATTCTGAATGAAGAATCTCGCCACAAAGTCTCAAGAGCTGAGGGCTCTAGCAGTGGGAGTGCTCTACATATCGAGGCACGAGGATGTACGCAGAAGAAGGGTAAGGTACAACGAGGCCAATCAAAATCCATAGGGAAGTCTAAAGGGATAAATCTGAATGGTTACAGTGAAGAGAAGTGCTACAGATGCAGAAATAAGGATCACTTTGCAAGGGACTGCAGAGTTTCTATTCCAGCATTAGCAGGGGATGATCGGGCTGACGGTGTAGCCAATCTCATGCACGAGACGAATTCGGATACGATTCTCCTATTCCTAGAAGACAAAAGCAATATGTGGGTCGTCAACTCTGGCGCATCTTTCCATGCAATCTCATAACAAAAGCTGCTTTCATCGTTCATGAAGAAGGACTTGAGGACAGTCTATCTTGACGATGATCAACCTTGTAAGGTTTCCGGGAAGGGAAATTGTACCCTCAAGATGGAGGATGGGACCACCTTGAGGCTAAATGACATTCGTCATGTACCGGATCTTAGGCGAAATCTTATATCAGTCAGGCAACTGACTGACTCCGTTTACAGAGTATCTTTCGAGCAGAGAAGCTGGAAGGTGTCCAAGGGTGCCCTGGTGGTGGCACACGGCAAACGCGAGGGGTCTAGAAGCTGGAAGGTGTCCAAGGGTGCCCTGGTGGTGGCACACGGCAAACGCGAGGGGTCTTTCTACATCATCAATGGGAAGATCGACCGTTTGCTTGCCGCAGGACAAGCATCATCATCATCATCCGTCGACTGCATGA